TATATATATATATATAGTTTTTGTTTCAATTCAATAGGATCCAAAAATGCATTTTATGGTTAGAGAAACAGAGATTTTTTTTTTTAAATCTTCTTTTGTAATAAGATTTAGGAACAACATGACGACGATTAAATGATCACAAAATCTTCATTTTGGGGTGAGCTATCTGTTTACTTAATTAGGCCCTGCTGATCAAAACCGCTTTTTCAATATTGGCACACCTTTATCTTTCTGGCACTGTGTAAATCTTTCATATCCTGTTATACATTATAAAAAGGAAGTGCCTTTCCTGCCATGGATTTGTACAGCCATTACAAAAATACTCTTAAACGTGAATAAGACAATGAGTGCATTTACGTGTGTGTTCTTCCACTGTAGGGCAGCACTTCTAAAATGGGCATAAATTGCATTTGATATAAAAGTGCTTTTGGCTTCTTTTCATATAATAGTTGCGATATGGTTTCAGCACATCCTTACATGCTGCTTAATGTGCTATGCTTATAAACTCATCTACCGAAAATCTAAATCTTAACAGGAATTTTATCCATTTTTAACTCTGCAAAGTGCCTCTTCTGTTCTTCACTGTAATTATGGAACTATTTGTAATATGTGAACCATAAACCAGATAGTCTTAATTGTCCTGTGAATGTGTTTGTTGGCTGGGGCCACAATTCTGTCTATGTTCCCATTGGAATTGTTTGTCTAGATGTTTTTTTTTTCTTCCCCTCTCGCACTGAATGCTTTGAAGGCTGTGCTGCGTGAGTGGTGTCTGTGCGACACATGGGTATTGGGGTGAGAGAGTAGAGGACACATCTTGCTGGCTTCTCTGGGATGGTTGCGTTAATTCTTCTGCTCTGCGCTGGATAGCAAAGCCAGCAGAGACAAAGGGAAGCACCGAGCACAACAGCCAGCAGTTATACACTGTTTAAAGGAATAGTTCACCTGGAAATTATATATATTTTTCCCAGTATTTACTCACCTTTGTGTTGTTTTAAACTCGTATGACTTTCTTTCTTCTGTTGAACACAAGTAATTGTGCTGATTGCTGAACTACAGTGAATGAACACTGAGTCTTTTGGACACAAAAGCACCATAAAAGTTGTCCATACAACTTGCAAGTTTTCTGAAGTCATTCGTGTGAGTAATAAACTTATATTTAAGGTGTTATTTGCTCAAATTCTTCCCCTCAGGTGAGCTGTTAACTGCTGTGACCAGAACACCGAGTCAGTTTGATTCATGAACGAATCATTCAGGCTTTGTGAATGAGATTATTCATTGCAAAGTTCCAACTCAAAAGAACGATTTGTTCATGTTCATGATTAATGACTCAAAATTCCGCAGTCAAAGCTACCGTATGAGTTCAGAAGTGAAATATAGAGCAGTATGGATCATTTTTTTATCTGGTTCTTTTGACGCTTTAGTCAGCATTTGTTTTAATTGCATGAATGAGAGCAACCAGAATGAATCTTCTAAATCCTCTTTTTGTGTTCCATAAAGGAAAAAAATTCATGCAGGTTTGGAACGACATGAGGGGGAGTAAATGATGACAGAGTTTTTATTTTCTTCAGTGAATTATTCCTTCAATATAACATTGTCCTCTGTGTCACGATCACTCATTTTTTACTGTGTTTCTCCGCTACACATGCACAAACCCCTGCACACACACTCTTGTTTGAGTTTAGTCTTGAAGACCTAATGATAAAGTTTCATTTTTGTTGGAAAACTGAAGCCATAAGAGATTAGGTCCTGTTTTTATGAAATACTTGCGTCTAAACCACGCCACGATCCTTGTTATGCAGTAACTATGATGTCGAATAGGATGAATTATGGTAAGCTTCATGTCTGTTCGAACAAATAATGGTTTCAAAAGAGATGTAAACAGCCATTTCTGTTGAACGCATACTGCCCATTTATGTTTCACAGCCAGTTTGAGTGAGTGATGTGATTGTGTAAATGTATATGGTTTCTTTAAATTAAATATATCAGTCTGTATAAATTGACTTGAGTTGTGACTTTTCATCAGTGTTATTTTAGTTTAATTGAGATACTGTTATAGATTTTATTGTAGTCATTTTTGTTCTTTTTTTAATGCCTATTTCTAAAATATGGCCATTTTTAAAGTATGCAGGTTTTAAAAAGGTCTTAAAATCTTGATCTGCCCTTCCACAAATTGAGGCCTAAATAGGTCCTAAATTGGAGCAGAAGATCTTAAATTCATAGCATCATGGCATTAAATATTCCATGCACTGTAAAAAAAAAAAAAAAAGGACTAATCTTCCTCAGTATTTTTGTTTTGTTTTCTAATACAAATATGTAAATGTTCTTAAATCAAGATACAATTACCTGTGTTGCAAATTGAACATATGAAGCCCTGTTTTCTGATAAATTGAGCAAGATGAAGTTAATTATTATAGTTACTTTTTCCCCCCTAAAAAAGTAAACCTAAACATTTGTGTCATAATTGATCTTACATCGTTTTGTTCCCTCTTCAATTTGACTCCAAGATGCTTAAATTAAGGTTGTATATGTCTTTTCCTTTCTCAAATCGAGTCTCTGTTTCTCTCTGACGTCTCAGCCTTTTATTCCCTCCTCCTGTCCTGACGTGTTAAACCCTATTAGAGTTGAAGAGGTCACAGTTACACCACATTTATCTGAACCGGGAATCCTTTGATCTCTCAATGGGCCGAGCATCCTGTTGGCTGACCCATAAACACCCCAAGGGGTACGTTTGAGTGGACGACGGGAAGGGGGGGGTCGGCTCTGGCATGGAGGGATGGAATGCGCCTCTTCCAGTCTCTACATGCAGCGGGGCAGAGAGGAGATGGGACGTGCTGATTATGGTGGCAGTTCTGCTCTGCTCTGTGTGGCTAACAATGGGAGGAGGGCTTGACACCTTGCTCTTAGTAGAACTAGGCATGCCCCCTCACCCCCAAAAAGAAGAGACGGGGGAGGGACGGGGGTTAAAACACCCTGACAATCACTTGTTGTTGGGTAGTTCCTGAACCACAACAACCTGCAAACAACCACAAAGCCCTCCAGTCTCCCCAACCCCCTTATCCTGTCTCTGTGTTGTCAGGCCGTGGAATCATCTCCCATCAAAGTTGTATTATTTCTTTGCTGCGATCTGCAAATTCACACTTTGGTAACAGCTTGCCAAAGTCTTTGCAATTCTGGAGGGTTTATAGTTTTGTCCCTGCAGTTTTCTGTTGACCACGAACTAGAGATTGTGAACTGTAAAAACGTGTTAATGACTCAAGACCCACTGACATGGGTGTTGACAAGTGTTTAATTCATAAAAAACCGTTCACAAACTGTAGTGATAACTGTATTATCTATTAGACATTACTATTTTGCCCACACCCGTGAACAGTAATGTTCTGTTTATTATAAGCACATTGCGGTTTTGTCAGGTCGTCTGCTGTTTTAAATGCTCAGACTCTTCTGGATTCTGAATGGCTGTCAATGTTTTTATTGTTTATCAGCTGGGGGGGGGGCGGGAAATCCTTCTGAACGTGATTCCAATTAAATTGTTTGTCTGTATCATTATTGCTACAGCTGTGGTGTGGACTTCACTATTCTCGTAAAATTCAAACGATAGTAAAAACTTTATAGTTATCATCCTCAGTGTGAACTGGCATTAAGTGTGGACCTATTTTTGGCTTGTTTAGGCCCATTCACACCAAGAACGATAACTACATTAGCGTCCACTTCATTGTAAAATAATGTTCCGTTTATTATCTGTTTATTACATGTGTCTATCGCTTTAATTGCTTGAGCTCTTTAAAGTTTGAGAGATTCTGATGGGCTGTCAATGTTTTTATCATTCATCAGCTGGAAAAACTGTTCTGAAGGCATTCTACCAACATCACTCCTCTGTATCGTTATTATTGTAGTTGTGGTGAAGACTCATAGAATTCAAACTGTTATTAAAATTGTTATTTTTTATTTTTTTTGCATGGCCTCATGGGATAGTAAAATGCCCACCAGATCCCCACTTTGTAATCTTGGAGGCGTAGTAGTTTACTTTTACATTTACATTTAGTCATTTTGCAGGCGCTTTTATCCAAAGCGACTTACAATTGGGGGATAGTAGTTCCTCTGAGTACTTTTCATGTACTGTTTTATGAATAAATCCAGCTCTATTATTTAGACTTTAGTCCCCAAAACCACCCTTTCATATGTGCATCTATTTTAATTTTATGTTAGATAATTTGATCATGTTTATTAAACTCCAGTTATTCCTACAGAAACTGCGTTATTTTAGGGGAAACTGGCTGCCATGTTAATCGGTCAAAAGTTTTGAGGTTTAGCTAATAGACCTATCTAATTCTTAAAGTCGACATTAAAAAAAAATTAACAAACTGTCAGCAAAGATAGAAAGAACGAGAATGAAATATTCTCAGGGCTACTTCAATAAAGAAGTGCTTTATATTTACTCTAGCAGTTCCCTATATACTCACAGTTTCAGTCATTCAGTCATTAAAGGGATAGTTCAACCAAAAATGAAAATGCTGTCATCATTTACTCGTCCTCATGTCGTTCCAAACCTGTATGAGTTGCTTTCTTATGTTGAACATAAAAGAAGATATTTTGAAGATTGCTGGTAATCAAACAGTTGGTGGTTGCCATTGACTTCCATAGTATTTTTTTTCCTACTATGGAAGTCAATGGTAACCACCAACTGTTTGATTACCAGCAATCTTCAAAATATCTTCTTTTATGTTCAACATAAGAAAGCAACTCATACAGATTTGGAACGACATGAGGATGAGTAAATGATGACAGAATTTTAATTTTTGGGTGAACTATCCCTTTAAGGCCTGTTGACACCATGAACGAAAGGAAAAAGCGAAACGAATCAGCGACGAATTAATTGAACACCATCTCTTCTTTACTCTATCCCGCTTGTTC